CCGGGCGAGAGCCGAAGGCGCGAGCTCAGTCCTCCATCCTGCCTCGGGACCCTCCCATCTGCTACAAGAGGAGCTTGGCTGGACTCGCTCGTGACCTCAGGCACAGGTCGTGGTTTTAGATACATTTTTTATTTTATTTTAATCTTGCTTTCATTCAAATTTCTTACATGTAACTCCAACTGCTTTAAAAGTATACAATATTTTACATAAAATATTTTACTGTAAAATAAAGAGCAGCTCAGAACTGAAAGTGTTCTCTTTATTACAAAAGAGCTTCACTCGACTGTTTCCTGTCTCAAGGTCTTGCCCTGCTTGGCAAAGACAAGGGAAGGCCTTGCGGTGCTCCAGCCTACATATGAAAACACACATGTATAATTGATCGTGTGGCTCTGTGTGCACATGAGCATTTTTGAAAGGTCGAGCCGAAGGACTGTTCAAACAGGTTAAAGCATCAGTTCAGTGCAGGCATCTGGTGCTTCCAAATTAAAATGCAGAACAGGGAGCTCTTTTTATTTGTCCTCTTCTGCCTGCAGGAGGAAATACCAGGTTGTAACGGAGTGTATGTGCTTCAGTAATTGGCTGTGTGCAGCAGGTGAGAGAAAGTGCGAGTCAGCAATGTTTGAGGGAGTCATGAGAGGTTCGGGTACTTTTTCACTGCCTGTATTATCTTCTCAGGTGGCCGGCTTACTCACTCGCTGTGGCTGCATAGATAATGACCAGTAACTACTACATATCTCACCTGGAATGATCCCTAGGTGCCCATGCTTTTGGTCTCCCACAACAATTTTACTGCCTTTGCTGTGCTGTTACACTGCAAAATACACAGAGACACTGGGAATCCTACAAACGAGGCTCATCTCATGCACCACCTTCCTCAGATAACATTAGCGGAGCAAACATTCACTAAATCGGCTCAAACAAAAAAACGTACAACACACTTATCTGGAAAAAGCGACCTTCTAATTCAGAGTAAACTAACGGCTCAGTCACGCGAGTGCAAGTGGGAGAGCAGCCTCCCTCCACCTACACAAAATAAATAGATACATAAATAAAATAGAAATGATATCTGCCTGATTTCTTCACATTCTCCAACCAACTGCAACCTGTGGTGACCTCGTGTTTGTCCCAAGCTTGAGGGTGCTGCACACTTATGGCCCCTTTTGATTAAGTCAGTTCGATTCCATCTTATTTACATGGTGGCAAATCAGAACAACAGTTGCCTCAAGGCACTTTATAGTGTAAGGTGAAGATCAACCCCCCTTGGGGAAAAAATATGGCAAAACTGGGAAGGAAAAACTGCCTTTCAACAGGAAGAAACCTCTGGCAGAACCAGGCTGGTGAGAGACGGGACAGAAATAAATAAATAAAAAGGCAATTACGAGGGGATTGCACGAATAATGGTGTCTGACTTGGACCGAATGCAATCAGTCTCAGAGACAGAGCTGAAGATTTTCAACACTTACTGTCTAAATTGTAAGATGCATAGATTGTCAACATGTTGCCATCAGTCTATAGCAGGGGTAGGCAACTCCAGGCCTCGAGTGCCGGTGTCCTGGAGGTTTTAGATGAGTCCATGATCCATCACAGCTGATTTAAAGGGCTAAATGACTCCTCAGCATTTCTTGAAGTTCTCCAGAGGCCTGGTAATGAACTAATCATTTGATTCAGGTGTGTTAACCCAGGGTGCGATCTAAAACCTGCAGGACACCGGCACTCGAGGCCTGGAGTTGCCTCCCCCCGGTCTATAGGAATCACCTCAAGCTAGCTGATGTTACTCTGCTTATATTCCCATAGAACAGGAAGGTTAATCATCATATTGGAAAATGTTAAAGATCCCAATAATATCATATTGTGTGGTGTCTGGTTATTCCACCTCTTGTAAATACAGAAATCACCTGTTAGCCAACAGCTCTCCAAACGGTCCTGTAATGATCAGTCCTGGAGCACCACTATGTGAATACATCAGGGCATTTTTATATCCAGCGGTCAGTATTAAGTGCTTCGCTTAGCAGCAGTACGTAATATTTAGACAAAACAAACAACAACAAAAATAAATAAACAAATAAAATAACTGTGAAAGGACTAAATGTAGCAACACAGCTGGTAAGTTGGCAATGACGAGAAGAACTCGCGTTGCCAACTTATTCACTGTTCAGTGACATCAGTGAAGGAGACGGAGCCAGGCAGACCAGCAGAGACGGTTCGTGTGAATCCCAGACTTAAAATCACGAAAAGTCAAATATTTTATACGTGGAAAACACAACAGTGGCAGAACTGTGTCACCGTACAATATTTATCCATCTTGCACAGCACCTGTCCAGCACTCAGACAGACTTTCTGTCTTCAGCTGCTCCAGAGATACTGCAAAGCCTTACCAGGCACGTAATAACATCTGTAGGTTTGTGTGCGTCTTGAAAGATGCAGTGTTTCCTCACGCACATGTGCATGCACGCACACACACGCACGCACGCACGCGCACGCACGCGCACACACACACACACACACACACACACACACAGGCTTTTACGCTGAGTAACTTCGACTCATTGAAACACTTTTGTCCATCTGTCTCTGATTAACAGAATCCAAGTCTATGTGAAACTATGAATTTTCAAGCGTGACCTTCACCTTGATCCATTAGGTGATGACTGTGTGCAGGGCTCAGTAAAAATCACACAATACTCAAGGATGAGTAACAATTCTGGTTAAAATTGGAAAAATGACACCTAAAACGACAAGTATGACCTTGACCTTCAACACAGAGTGAAGACTCCGTGGGAAGAGCAGAGATTCTTTGCAACCGCCGTGATATAAGCCTTCGTCACATAATCAGCTAAACATCAGCATCTTCACAAGCAACTACTCAACGAATGCCAACGTAGCTGATTTAAGACTCAATCTATGATGATGCCAGCAGTTTGACCGAACACAGTGCGCATGAATCTAGATATCATACCGACCTTAAGACTCCCAGAAAGAAACACACCGTCAATAACCAAAATAAACCCACAACATCAAACGGCCTAATAAAAATGACAAACTTAGACCGCATCGTCATTTATGTTGAAACCAGTATACGCGTCCTTCTACATCGAGATCAAACTTTTGGTCCATGTGCAATCAGATTTTTAGGCAGAGATCGGTGCGAGGGTGTGAAAACACGCAGCTTAGTGAGCGAATGAACAGCGAGCAATCAAACGCAATCCGTTCTAATGACGTCTGTAAACAAAAGAATCGAGAAAAGAAATCCATTCCTCCCGACGCTGCTGCATTATACTTTATTTAATGATAGTAAAACACCTCCTTTCAGTATTTTCTCTGCATCCCACTCACCCTGACTCAGAGTCAGGAGGAAACAGAACCTTCTCCTTGTAGTCAAGGCACAAGGGAGAGTGTTGTTTACCTCTCATATCAAAAGATCCCAGCAGCCTTCAACTCTCAACTCCTGCCACTTGGTTTCAAAGACACACAGAGAAAGACAGCTGTGCTACAGTCTGAGGTTGCAAACACTGCGGCTCACGCTATACATGTTTGCAAACTAACATAAAGTCATGGCGAGAATGTCTATCAGTCAAACGGGGATTTCCACACAATGGTTTCTTTGGTGCAACCAGACAGTGGTTGATTTGCACCTCAAAAGTGATGCAACAGAATTAAATGAGCCTTTACTTGCACCTGAAGGTGTTTCACATGATGCATTTCCAGAATCAAGCAAAGTGGATTCAAGGTTAGGCTAACACCACTCGAGCTACCTTTATTTGACAGCAGTCAACAGAGTGACAGAGAGGACGTGGAGCGAGGGGGTGGACCTGATTTACATGTGGGTTTGCTTGTTTACCGACAATCAGGACACTATGAAACTGCCAATATGTATTTTTCTTGAGTTGAGACTGAGACTCACGACAAGCTCCAAACATTACACTCATTGTGAAACTCTGGGCCAACACAAACATTTAACATGATAAAGTAGTCATTTGGCCACCGGCTGATGCTGATTTTTGTCGGTCCAATATTTTTGTTATTTATCTCCCCATCTGTCCAGGAGAACTGCCAAGTGCTCTTGCTATCATATTTGCAGATAACCAATATGAGTATCAGCTGATTTCCATGTTCTGTTGATATCTTGCTGCATCTCTCAGTTTAGTGTCTTTGAAGCTACAAAACAGACATGCAAACTGAAATGTACCTCACAGCCCAGAGAATATGTCCATGTTGCTTAGAAGTATTAGACGAATTCCCTCATATGTCTTTAAGTTGGGTGTCACTCGGTGAAGCCTGACACACTTCTAAGAACTGACAGAGGATATCTAGGACAAAACATCTGCAGTCAAGTCAGTGAAGCCTCACAGCGGGTGTGTGATCTGTGATGTCCAGCAGTTAAACCCAGGACTGGTTCTGATCCACCTCGCTGGTCACGCACATGCAGCTGATATTAGCAGCTGCTTTCAGGTTATCACAGACAGACCTGTACGAGCATACAGTATTTTAAACTCTTAAACGCCAGTACCAATACCGGCCTATAAGTCAAAGGTTTCCATGATTGCATAAACTTGTCTAGTAACAATCATCACAACGACAGACAACCTGCTTCAGCATGCAGGAAACCCCATCGAGCAGTTCAACTCCCAATAACAACCCTGTGGCAATAAATTCACTCAAATGACTGCAAAGTAGCATCACAGAGCAGAAACAGCCTCTCAGTGCGAGACAGGATATTAAACATATTTATGTTAGCAGGACCAAAAACAAAGTGTTTCTGCGGAAACATTAAGATAAAGCTCAGCTTCTGGCCATAGCTTACATTTTATACCCACGTACTTGTCTCACCCAAGTTTCTCCTTCAGCGTTAGCTGGATTTCCCTCGCTTCATATGTCAAACAAGCGTGTCTACTACTGCCCGATATTTTCAATAGCGGTGCACTAGCGCAGTCTTTCTAGGCTATTTCTGCCTGCAGAGAATGTCACAAAGGAAGGCAGGAGGAAAAGGAAGAACGTATCACCTGCACGGAGTTTTCAGACACAGCTTATCGTACATTTTCCATCCCCGGGCTTTCAGCGGGCTCGACTCTTCAGCGGACCCTGAGCGGTTTGACGTTAGTAGTAGAAATTCACCAGGCAGTTTCCAGTGTGAGCGCAAACTCCCTCCCAGCTCAGCGCTGATTGGCTACTCCTCCCTTCAATCAGAGAGGAACGCGGAGTAGGCATAGCAACCACAAGAAGGCGGGTTTAATAGTGTATACCGGCAGCCCATTGGATCACTTCTCCACAAAATCGAGAATATACAATTTAATAGGAACCTGAACCCTTTATGCGTTTGTACAACAAATTCAACAACAGCTCGTCAAAGTTCAGCCAACGAACAACTGAAGCATTTAAACGCTGATCATTTCTGTCTTTGTTCTTCATTCTCCATCAGCGTCGCCTTTGAAACTTTTGAATGGGAAACGGTAAATATTACCACTCAGACACTTTTCTGTTTCCACAACAGATGTTGCAGCTGTTAATTTAAACTTAAATGAGCTGTGGGCCCCTGCCGGCACTGTCTTCTCATTGGAGGGCCACTTTGGTGTTCAAGTAGTGCAAAGAAACAAACAAACAAGAAAAAACCCACAAATATTTCTGAAAATGTGGTGTTTTGGTTGTTTTTTTTACATTTCAAATATTGTATAACAGGACAAAACTGCAAACATTTTACACACACCAGTACCTCATGCCCAATGAATAAAGCCAAATGCCAATATAGTGAAGTGGAACTTTTCTCGGGAAAAGCATGTTTGGGATGTGTCCACTTAGAAATTAATAATAATAATAATTGTAAAACAGAAATATCCTCTGGGTTTAATTCTTTCACCATGGCTCCTTTATTGAGATCAAACCAACATTTTAATTCATAAATCCACTGGGAGGTAACCTCCAAATTAACTTCCACGTATTCTCATTGAACATCTAAAGAACTTTCAAGTTAACTGCAATGTTATTTTCCCAAACTGGTTAAACAAATGAGAATTTTCCTAAGAGGTAGGCCTTAACCACGTCTATTTCTGTTGTTTTTGAAGTACCATATTCACTAGCTACCTGACTTTGGGAGAGACTACCCTCAGCAGTGCAGTGGGAAAGAATCAGGTGGAAAAATAGAGACTACTTTAATCAACCAGAGACATCAGGTACATCCGGGCATGTGCCCAGAATACCCACTGGATAATCTGGCCCAGGATACAAGAGTGAGTGTCTGCAGCTGTCTGTATAACATGGTGGCGGCTCTGCCGTGGTTTGGGGCTGCATTTCAGCCAGTGGTACTGGAGCGCTTGCATTAAAGCATTAAAACTGATGTAATTATGAATGCTGAAGAGTATTCTAAGATTCTGTTGCACCATCTGGAAAACATCTGATTGCCAACAGCTTAATTTTTCAGCATGACAATGACCCAAATACACTGCCAATGCAGTTATGCAGTCATAGATTGGCCTCCCCAGATCCCAGAGCTCAACATTATTGAATCAATGTGGATCATCTTGATCAGAGAACAGAACAAAAGTCAGACAACATCCAAAGAAGAGCTTTGAATGTCCTTCAAGAAGCCTGGAAAACTGTTCCTGAACACTACGTATACCAAACACTGACTCATACAGCCTTACTCTACTTCCATGGACGTATGCATATATTTCCACTATATTTCAAATCAATGCATCTATTTTGATTTTCATGGAAATGTAAAGAAATCAGGACTGGCTCAGGGCTTCAATCATTTATCATCTCATGTCACCATCAGAGTAAATCTTAGCTGTAGCACAGTTAATGATGTCTGTGATTTAAAAGAGAATATATTTTTTTTGTAATAAGAATTCTCTGCTCTAACTTTAACAAGTGTTTAAAAAAGCAGTGATTTACAGGTTTACTAGCCAGTAGATCATGAAATAAAGAATTAACCTTGAAAGATTAATTTTAAGACATTTCCAGCCTGAATGCATGAATGAGTGCAGCAACCAAAATATTTTTTCAGCGGGGCAGGTGGCAGAAATAAATTAACCCTCATGCCAGCCTCCTAATGAAAATCAGATGGTGGAGACACTGACAGAAGGCTTTCAGCAGGTGATGGTTTCAGGCTGACTGACTGCGAGAAGGTAAAACGAGTGTTCTCCATCAGTTCCTCAGTGAGGCCTGTAAGATACACATGAAGCTGATGGAGAGGGTTAAAATAGCAGTAGACTGCTGATTTTTTTCAAAAGATAAGGACACAACTTTATTATATAAACATTCAATACAGTTCTCAGGGTTAAAAATGGTATGAGGGTGTAGTTGTGTCTCATTTCAACACGGCCCACTTCTGCAATTAAAAAAAAAATCTACCCATAAATGTGAACTGCAAAAATGCAGGTCCAGACTCAGCATGGCACTGCTCACATGGGGTCTGTAATGTTTGTGCAGCAGGAGAAACGTTTGTCAAATTAAGCCGACTGCAAGCAAGAATGAGCCAAGCAGGGAGAGCAGGAGTTATTTTAATACACAGGTGTGTCCAGACCTGCTGAGAGATGCATCAGGGAACAGCAGCCCTTATTTCTGCGAGAGGCATGAAATGCATAAAAGTGTGGCGTTGCTTTGGTTGATGCCCTCACCACATGCAAAGCTGCTGCCACTCACTGCTGTGCACCTTCACTTGCCCTTTCTGGTGCTGTTATACATCAAAGACAGGAGCAGTGAGGGTTTCTCTGCTGGAGGCGTTGATGCTCGATTCAACGATTAGCGGTGCAATATTGCAATCCACACCGGGTGCAGGAGAACATCATGTCAAAAGCACTGAAGTGCAGCTCAGCTTTAATGTTAGAGTCAGTGCTATTTCCTGTGAGATGGTTAGATTAGATCACTTCCACCTTCACAGTTTGCACGAGTCGACAGCGAACCACAAAGTCACGGAAGATATTTTAAGATGTCTTAACGTGAGACATAATAAACAAAATGTACATCACGTCGGGCATTTTTCACGCATGTGTTGAGAGAAAGAGGATCTGCAGGATGCTGGCACAGAAGCTGTGCGATCGCTCTTTTTGCAAGCAGTGTGACTGCCATTTCCTCCTCTTCCATCTGCAAACACAAATGAAACGGGGGATAATTATCAGAGCCTTTAATCCCCCGGCAAAATCTCACAAATAAAATGAAACGAGCTGTTGAATTTAATTACGTATCATCAATCCCTGCCACCTGTTGCTGTGTCTATTCTTATCCCGCTCGACTGTCGCTTCTGACACCGGCCGATGTGCTCTCATTTGTCTCCCTCTAAAGGCTCTTTGTGAACATGTCCTCACTCGTAACATTAGTACTCTTTAAAGGATATATTTAAAGGCGCTGGAACGATTTCAGATGGCACATAAGGGAGTTTCGTCACTTCATGGCCATTTTTCTTTCTGCTGTCTACCTAATTTGGTCTGTTTGAAATGGAATTTAACAGGAATTGAACTGAAACAGACTCAAAGTGATGGCCGGACACACCGGTTGTTGCATTATTTCTTGTTTGTTTATTTTGCATTCAAATAGGATGCTGCTCTGCTTCTAGTATCTAGCGAATGAGGTCCACGGTATGGCCACAGGCTCTGCATCACCTCTCCTCCAGTGCTTCTCCCTGCTCCTGCTCTCAGCAGGCACTTTCAAATCAGCTTAACTCCTGCTTGAACAGGCAGGCAATTAAAGCTGGCGAGACAGAGGACGGAGACCACTGCTCAAAAAGCACACGCAGACAAAACAAACCTTCTTTCCCCCTAAGTGGTCCTCCGAACTCCCCAGGAGACCCAGAGCGCTATCTATCCATCTGTGGTAATAAGTGCCTTGTGCCACGTCTCAGTGATATCATTGCCTTTGTCTGGCTGTCCCTCAGGGCTGGGATTGTGTCTCTCTGTGGGCCCTGTTGGCCTGTGGAGAGGTGTTGCAGAGAGATGGCTGCTCATGTCTGTGAAGAGGAAGCGACATCTGTTGGTAAAGGAAACTCAAAACGCCTCTTAGATTAAATGATCATTTTTCTTTCGTTGCTTTCAAGAACATCCACCTATTCATGGATACTTTGCCTACTTTATATATTATTGTTTCTGTGCTTATTTTTTGGATGAGACAAGGAAGCAGATCCTCTCCCTCCATCTCACCCCATCCCTACCATCCTCTTCTGTCACAGCAGGACACGTCCTCCTTCACTACAGTCTTAGTCTTCCTCTTTCCTCCTGCCGAGCAGCCTTTAGCATCCTTTGTCTAATATATCCACTTTCCCCACTCAACCCAGGCTCTCCCTCCGTCATACTCATTTCTAATCTTATCCATCTCGCTCACTTTTAGCATCTTTGCCTCTGCCATCGGTGTAACTAATTAATTTGCTGCCCATCCAGATAAATTATATATTTTTTTACTCAGTTCTTAAAGGTATCACATTATTGGTTTCGATGCCCTGCAGGAGGGCTACATTTCTAAACTAAAAACAAACCGCACTCTGAAATAAGGTTTAAGAGAAGATATCTCTAACGCTGGAAACCTTTTAACCATCCAACCAATGTTCCCTCTAATGTTTCATGTGTCTGAGCGAACGCACAAACTCCCTGAGCGGCCCCATGGACCACTGTGAGCAGCAGCAGACGTGTGCACTGTGGTCACGCCAGCATCCAATCCATGCAAGTTACATGTTTATTAAAATAATCAAATTACAGCATTTACATTTATGTTAGACTACTTTTAATTAACTGCTTTGGCCCACTTACAATGAAAATGCACTACACACTGACTACACAAGATTTGCGCTAACTTCGCAAATCTCTCACATCTCAAACACGCCTTCACTCCTAAAACTTCCCCCTTCCTAAACAACTAAATGTCATGTTGCCATATCATTTTTGATTGGTCCACATGGTACATTTTTCCACCAATAGGAAAGGCTGGAGGGTGTTTTTGTTTTTGCTCACAGGCTTTTGAGCGTTTTCCTTATCAAACGCAGTTTTTACCGTTTTTTCCCGCAGTAAATATAAACAACGACAGTATTCAGGAAGAAAAACAAACATTGCAGATATTTTTATCATAACTCTGGTTTTACGTGGCCGATCAACACAGTTTAAAAACTGGTATAAAGTCCACACTTTGTCCGT